CAGATAAAAGCTGGAATTAAAGCGGTCAATCAAAAAGAGTACAGAAATGAATATAAGATATTTATCTACAGCAGTGACTGTTAAATGTATGAGTATGGGTGAAGGGCTTGTATAAAATTGTAAACAACATAACTGCTTGAGCATTACACAAATCAGAGTTTTTTTTCTTGTGGGTGTTGAAAACGCAGGTAAGATGGGTCATTCGGAACTTGTGAAGTACGGTTTGGCTGATGTCATTGAGAACCCCGGCATCATTACTGACATTGGCATAAAAGTGGTGAATGAAGTGTTCACTAATATTAAGTATCTGCTCATCTACAACTGTCCTCACCTTCATAATCCTCACCACTGGATCACAGGTAAACTTGTCACAAATGGCATCTTTAATTTTTGACATATATATGAAATGTTTTATTGAGGACTGCTTGTTTTTGTTCTCAGACCAGTCCAGATGGAGCCGTCTCGTTGATCTCACGCTAGTTCGGTGTCATGCCATCAAACTTGAATCTTTTTCCCATTTCATAGAGCTGCTACCTTGTCTAGAGTTTATCTGTCTGGACCAAATGTTCAGAGAGCCACCTAAGGTATTTGTATTTGTTCATAAACTTTTACATATCTCAGAATGTATTGGCAAATAAAAGTCATTTTATTCAATTTATACATTTCTCACTGTAGTAAAAGCTTAAAGTTTTCTTTGAACTTTAGGCCTGCTTATGGTTGACAATACCAGTGTCTCCAATCTAGGACACAAAAGTTTCTAAACTTTGTCATTTAAATATGCTAATATACTTACCAATATTTGACTCAATTAATTGCCCACTTCCATAGTGGAAAAGGATATTATGTGTTTGCTAGTTTCTGTGTGAACATGTCTGTTATCAAAATATCACACATACATTCACCGGCCACTTCATTAGGTACACCTGTCCAACTGCTCATTAATGCAAATGTTGAATCAGCCAACCACATGCCAGCAACTCGATGTATTTCAGCATGTAGACACAGCCAAGATAATCTGCTGCAGTTCAAACCGAGCATCAGTATGGGGAAGAAAGGTGATTTGAGTGCCTTTGAACGTGGCATGGTTGTTGGTGCCAGAAGGGCTGGTCTGAGTATTTCACAAACTGTTAATCTACTGGGATTTTCAAACACAACCATCTCTAGGGTTTACAGAGAATGGTCCGAAAAAGAGAAAATGTCCAGTGAGCGGCAGTCCTGTGGGCGGAAATGCCTTGTTG